CACTGAGGAACACCAAGGACCATCCATCATGGCAAAGACAGCAAGGCCTGGGACACATTTGTCACCAGTTAATGCATTGTGAGGAGAAAAGAGGGGAAAATACCTCAAGAGGATGGAAAATGTCCTCCACTGTCCTTAAAGGGCCCATCATTTCTCTCCCTGATGCAGTATTTTACCGTAGGCGTGACTTTTGAGCCAAGGCAGAGACAGAACTTGGATGGATTTTTGAAACCTTCCCACACTTGAAGCAACCATGTTGTTTCAGAGGCCCCAGCCAAACACAAAGCACCAGACAGGCCTGAGGACAGAGTGCCAGAGGACTCGAGTCCACCCAGTCAGCGCGGACACCCAGCCACCGGAACGCTGCTTTTGATTAATGCCTTTACTTTCTCAGCTGTGGACGAGAGAGAGAAATAGTGAGCCAGAGTATGAGAACTGGAACAAAAGAAAAATAAATGATCAAAGAATGGATGTTTAGATCGTTTTCCTTTTTTCTTTTGGGAATTTCTCTCAGCAGCAGCAGCCTCTCAGCTGAAAGAGTGACCTAGCAGTGGGTTGCGAGGTTATGTCCCATCTCTGCCAGATTGAACTGAGTCTGAACAAAAAGAAAGCCACCACAGAGATTAGAGCGATAATATTTCAGCTGAAATGAGGCTCCACAGCAGCTGGGCTGAGTGCCAGGGAAAGTGGTGCGAAAAGTGAAAAAAAGAGCAGGATGTTTTCTCCGAATCAATGCGATATAGATCGCCTCTATTATATTACCCACGAGTCACTGTGTGTATTATATTTTATTACTGGTAATAACATTTTGCCCCAAACAGTGTGCTGAAAACTAAAATGTAAACCCTCTTTCATAAAAGTGTCAGTTTTAAATCTGTTTTTACTTATTTTTGTTGTTATTTGCAAAAAAAAAAAAACAGCTGAAAGTTTAATCTCCAGCACGAGGCTTCTCACACCAGATGCTAAAAACACTCAGAAATCTAAACAATAAAACAGATGAGCCCCGATTATCTGTGCAAACATTAATATCGATGATTGAAATGAAAGCGAACAGCATCAAAGTTGTCTGCAGATGAGAACCTTCCTTGAATTATCTGCATCCAAACTAAGCTTTAGACAGGAAAGAGTTCAGCTTTAGTTTGGCTTTGATATAGAAAGACATTCATCCAAGAACAATACGAACACCCTCAAGTGTCTGAGCAGTTTGAAGTGTAGGATGTTTAGAGAGCTGGTGCTGATGCTGCGTTTAGCCTGCCTGTCAAACCTCCTTTTTGTTTTCCTCTGAACTGTCAGAACTGCTGCATCGATTACCACTGGTGTTATTTACAGTGCTTGACAGTAACACATTACTGTATCAGTGTAATACAGTAATAATGCAGCTGCCATTTTCAGGAACAAGAACTGTGAGAGATTGCAATTAAAATGTAAATCAATACATTTAAGTTACTGCATTGCATCGCTGCCGTCTGTGATTCTCGGTTACTTTGACATTTGAAGCTCCAGCTAAAGCTTCGAGCCCCTGAGTAGAGTTTAATTCATTTAGTGAAGGAGAGAGTTTGTGAACTTGGTGCCAAACAAAACACATATTGTCCAGATAGTGCCTCCCAGTGAGCTTAACAATGATTTAATTTAAAAGATTTATCTTCTTACCTTAAAAGGTGTCCTAGAAAGATTTTTTTTTACTGCTGGAAACTGATCTGTGAACCTCTATGTAAAATATATGGAACTTTGTTGGGGCTCAAAATGGCCCAGGAGCCTCGATGTAAAACCAAACACAACCCCATAATAAAGCCCTTTGATGCAAAGACTGACCTTGTGTGTGTGTGTGTGTATGTGTATGTGTATGTGTATGTGTGTGCGTGCGTGCGTGTGTGTGTGTGTGTGTGTGTGTGTGTGTGTGTGTGTGTGTGTGTGTGTGTGTGTGTGCTTCTTCCCCTTTGTTTACATCCAAGATGCTGTACTTAAAATGTGCGAGCCACTAGAGGGCAGTAACTAAAAACAAGCTAATTGAACTAAAGCCTCCATTTTGTTTGCTAACATGCTAATTAGTCAAGCTGTCCCACATGACTAATTATGGCATTTAAAAAAAAAGGTTTGTTATGAGATCATGTGCTTCTGAAGCCGTATGAGTACAGAAGATCTTGATCAATTTGAAAGCACAGAGATCACACATTTACTGGCAATTTAATTTCATTAAAACAAAAATAAAGGTGAAACTTACTTTTTTGTTGGCTAAATATCTAATATCAGGGTAACATGAAAGGAACATAATTAAAAGATCTGTCCTGAAAGCAAACATTTTGTCCCAAATGTCTTTCTTCAGAGGTGGACTTAACTGAGCACCGCTCTGTAATTTGCTCCGGTCGTCGGAGCTTTGGCCCTCTCATGTTTCACCACCAGCCTGGAGGCACTCCACTGGTGAGTGTAGAGAGAGGAGTTCATGCACCCGTAATGAGTGATGGTGCCAAATTCTACAGCTTTTCACTCAGCACTGACAGGACTGGTTTTCCTAGAAGAACCTGATAAAATGCAGTGTTTCTAGCTTGGCGGTGACCTGTTGAGGAGTCCCAGACATCTGTCCTGAAAGTCCTTCTGGCTCAGCTGAGCTTCAGATGAGAAGGAAAATCATGTAGCGCCATGGCGCTCCTCGGGATGACTCACCCAGGCCAGATGAGAGGGGAACTTCCCTCCGCTCTTCCTTCAGCACCTCCTGTCTCTCCTCTCAGGGTGGATGTTTCCATGGCATGACAATCGTCTAGGTGGTGTTTATGTCCTACTCCTCCTTCCCCTCCCAACACTGTGTTTTATACATTTAAATAAATAATTGAGCATAAAATGAAATTAAAAGGAGTTTCTGGTACAATGGTGCAGCAGGATAAAGGGCCCTGTTGTTAAAATAACCTGCTTCCAAGCAGCTGTCTTTTTGGAGAGTGGCGCTTTGCCTGCGTTTCCATCATTCCTGTGGCAGATGAAGTGCTGGTGGAGGTTTTATAGGTATCTGCTCAATCTTCTGGCCTGACACTGTGCAGACACACATCTTTTTCACTGCATTTTTATTGCATGAGCACACCAAAGAGGTCAAGCGATTAGATTCCCTTACACTGTGACAAAGCATCGTCTGCTTTAAAGTGGCTTCATGTAGACTGGAGTATAAAAACAGGCTACATCTCCCTGGTTTGATTTATCTAACGCACATCGCTCCTCCACAGCGCTGTGTTGAGTGGAAAGAGGGATGGTTAAATCTTTTCCTCATGACACATCAGTCCCACCCAGAAGTCCTGGCCTCACATTCTTCATAAAACACTTCAACATTGTCCTGCAGGTGTCTGGTTCCTGGGAAAATTAAAAGAAAGCAAATCATTGGGGAGAATGTGGGCCAGCTGCATAAAGCTCTGGCTTGATTTGCAGCAGAACTATTCATCTATCTATCTTTTTTCCACTGCTGTTTCATGGAGGTAGCACTAGGGAAAGCCAGACGTTCTTCTCCCTGGTGACTCTTCTACTGGGGGTGGGGGGTGTTTCCCTTGGCTTTCCTGGGTCAAACATGATAAATAATCCCTCCGGTGAGTTCTGGGGCTGCATCTTATTCATAGGCTTAAACAGCTGATTCCCGTTAATCGGGAATGAATGGTGCAGAACTATTTACTTTGCTTTGCGGCACTTGAATCCACACCGGGGGAGCCACATCATCCCTCAAGACTTCAGGGTTAATGGTTTGTTCATGCCATCTGCCATTAAACCAAAAAGAAGACAAAGGAGATGTTGAGGGTCTGCCCTCATGAGGAAATTACTATGCAGTAATTTCTCCAAAAGACTGTGTCATCTGCTCTCTGAAAAAGCAGATATTAAAAATCAGCGACAGCAACAACTTCATATCCCATGAGCCTTTGCACCCGGAAGCAGCGTGATGACGTCACCAAAGCGGAGCCGAACCCCAGAGCACGGGTTCTGCGCATGTGCTGACCCACGCGGAGTCCAGCCCGCCGGACAGCTGAAAAGCTATAAATCCCAGCGAAAAACGAAACTTATCTGTCTTTTGTCCAGAGTTCGGCTGGCGTGAGGACGTGCTCGTTTGCTGCCGCTCCGGACGGCATGTGCCTGGCTGCTGAAGTGGACGGAACACTGAGCCGCTGAAAAGCAACGGAACCGCCATCTGGTTCGTTTGAACTCCGACGGACGCTTCGGGTTCGATAAACAAGAGTTTTCTCTCCTCTATCTTTTTTCTTCCGCTTCTCTAACATAGTTCAGAACAAGCAATCAAACAGCACGATTTGCTTTAAAGTACCAACGGCTTTCTCTATCTTCCGTACCAAAAACGCCATCGGATCATCTTAAGAGTAAGCCGTTTTGTTTTGTCATTGTCTAATATCTTAAGTTTTATGCTGTGGCCAGGCTGACAAACTATTAGATATTTCATTTATGGTTGATCTTTTGTTTTGTTTATTGATCTTTGTGAAGCGGTTTTGAAGTTTGTTAAGTTTTCCTGTGATTGAATGTGCTTCGGAAGTTTAAAGTGAAAGTTGCCCACGCACGCACACACACACACACACACACGCACACACACATTTTGGTTTTCCGTGTTTGGGGACACACACACACACACACACACACACATTTTGGTTTTCAGTGTTTGGGAGGACACACACATCCCACATACCCGGTCGGGTCCTTGCTCCCTCAGACAAAGGGAGTCAGCCATTTTGTTACCCCACCTATCAGATTAGTATTTCACATTATCGTTCCATTGTTTAATTACTTGTTATTCATTTGATAAAATAAGTTGGTGGATATTAATTAGCTAACACTTTGGAAGGAGCTGAATTGAATATATTAGTTAATAAAGGTCATTGCCAATTAAGCATTTGTCTCAAGCAGTGTTAATTTTGTTGACAAAATATTTTTGTCTTTTTTTTCGTCACGAAAATATGTTTACAGACGAAAATGAAACAAAAATTCAAAATAAAAACTTGGAAAAAGACGAAGACGATAATTAAATTGATTGAAACTTTTAGTCAACGAATGAAAGACGAGACGAAAATCTATGATGACGCTCTTCTACATGGCGCTCTATGGTGCGGTGCGACTATTGTGTTGTTGTGAGATGCGAACGTAGTAGAAGACAAGGGGCGTGGCGTGCCGTGAACGTGCGGGACGACGTGAGAGAAGACAGACCCTGAATAGTATAAAGGGGCAGGTATGCGCTGTGTGCTAAACATAGCTCACTGAATATATCGACGGCATAAGAAGAAGGACTATAGGAAAAAGTTAACTGCTGGGCGAAAAAGAAGAAAAGATGTCTGGAGTCATTTTTCTTATGATAACATTGCTACCAAAACTACATGCCGAGAGTGTGGACTGTCGTTCCGAGGAATGAACACAACGAATCTGAAGAGGCATCTACAGAATGGCCACTTCGCCATTTTCTCCGAGGTAAATCCACTTAAATGTACACGTGACGACCCGAAAAGTAATATACAGGCAAATAAAACTGTATCAACTCTGTCATGTTGGGATAAAAATTCGGAAGTACCATATTTTCATGACTATAACGTGTGTTATTAGGGAAATAGCGGGCGAGCAGTGTTGATGCATGATTGCACATGCACCGTGAGCGGTTCTGGTACTTTTTGGGTCGCAGCCGCTCGCTGCACGTGCGCTCCAAACCAGGACTAGACCAGTAAAGTGAAGCATGCTGTTGGCTGTTTATAATTTTCACAATGTCTGGTTTGCACTAATATGATCCGAGTCCTGAGCCCGCACAGATGTTTATGTGTGTGTGTATGTATATATATATATATATATATATATATATATATATATATATATATATATATATATATAATGTATGAAATCTCAAAAAGCAACAGGTAAATCATTGTTAGAAAGTCAATGTTTTAATTGTGTATTTTTATTTTTTTGCAGTTGCAGAAAACCATTGCTGATGGTGGCCAACCAGCTACCAAAAAGGCAAAAATGTCCAACCAGAACATTGAGGATGCATTTACAAGTACTACAAAGTACAAGAGTGATGCCAAAGAACAACAAATTAAAGAAGAGGCTATCGCTACATGGATTGGATGTACAGGAATGCCGGTCACAACAGTAGAAGATGAGGATTTTATTCTGATGATGGAAAGTTTGGATAAGAAGTTTACTGTGCCAAAGAAAACCAAGATAAGTAATCTAATTGAAAAACACTATGAAAACAAGAAAGCTACATTTAAGAAAAGACTGTCTAGTGCCAGAAAAGTATGTATTGGGACTGATCTGTGGACTAAAAAGGGACTGACAGCATCATTCCTTGGCATAAGTTGCTGCTTTTTCTGTGTTGAACAACAAAAACCAGAACGCTTACTGCTAGCTCTTGAACAACTTGACCATCCACACACTGCCCAGTCCATTAAGGCTTGTGTGGAAAAGTGCATGCAAAAATGGGGGATCCTAAATGAGAAAGTTCTCACCGTAATAACAGACAATGGTAGCAATATGGTGGCAGCATTCAAACATAGTGCTCCAGAAGATGAAGATTCCAGCTCCGATGATCCAGATGCATCCATCCTGAGTGAAAGTGATTCCAAGGAGACAGAAAACCTGCAGTGTCAGGACATGGGCATGGACAGGATGCCATGTGTCGTCCATAGGCTGCAGCTTGTTGTCCACATGATAAACAAGGAGGAAAGCATCAACAGAGTCTTGAACAAAGTCCGATCAATCGTGAAACTTTTTCGCAAGTCATCAGTCGCAACACAGAAGATTTTGGATGGGTGTGGCCTAACTGTTGTGAATGACTGCCCCACACGCTGGTCAAGTACTTATGAAATGGTTGCACGTCTCCTCAAAGTTAAAGAATCTGTTTGTGAAGCAGCAAATGAGATGGGATGGGACTGCTTGCTCTCAAGTGAGTGGCAGAAGCTGAAGTCAATGCAAGAACTTTTGCAGCCTTTTGCTGAGCACACACAAAATCTTCAGAGTGACACAATGTCTATGTCATTAATACTCCCTGCTCTCTTTGATTTACTCAGCCATCTGGCAGATGTGGAACAAAACACAAGTCGAGATGTTGCTGCTCTAGCACATAAAATGAAAGGGAATGTGAACCAGCGTTTTGCCTGGGCACTTGATCCCTCAGATGACAAGTTTTCCCCACTTCTAGCAGCTGCTTGCTTTCTCAATCCTACTGTGTGTCAGACCCTCCTCAATGTGGCTGATGATAACATTCCAGTGTGATAATTTCCAGTGTGCTTTTTGTTTTTTTATTAAGCACGTAAGTGTTAAACATGTGAAGTGGTTTTTTTATTCAAATATTCTATGTTCTTAGCTGTGTGTGCTATATCTGATCAGTGGTGGTTAAGAGTTTGGACCCTGTGTATTAAATTACACTAGTTTTTCCGTGCTCCATACAAAAGTAGGAAATTACGTCATTAGAAAAAATATATGCATTTTGTTGACTAAAATTGCTTATTTTTATCGACTAAAATTACTTGTTATTTTCGTCGACTAAAATGGGACTAAAACTAAAATAAATCCAATGACTAAAATTGGACTAAGACTAAAATTAATTTTTAGCCAAAAGACTAAGACTAAAATAAAATTTAAATTTCCTGTCAAAATTAACACTGGTCTCAAGTGAATTTGTTTGTGTGATATAAATTAACTGCAGCTCGTTACGATTTCACGGAAAGTTTAGACAAGATTGATAGGAGGTGGGGTGCCCTGTGGATATCCTAATATCCCAATTAATTAATAAATCGGTAAATATTTCCATATTTATGAATTTTATTGAAGAATCCAAAAAGTAAGTAAAAGCTTACAAATTATTTGTTGCCCAATATTCCCAACAGAGATCATGTTTGTGTAACATAACAGTGGTCAAATTTTCACCAACAAATTGACCAGAAATTGACTTCCATTTGCAGACACAAACACACTACCTGTCTGGCCCAAAACAACTCTGCTCCAGTACTGAGACATAACATTCTCAGTCAAGGTCTCATGTAGAAGCGAGACTCCTGCATTTCACACTCTGAATAAAGTTCACCCACCTCAAAGTTCCTAAGTGACTTTACAAATTATAGGTCGAAATAATCAAATGTGTTGAATGAACATTTGTTTGTCAGTATACTCATATACATTATAAGATTATTATTAACGTTTAAAATCCACTTCACATAAGTGTTTAAAACATTATCATTCACACAAAGAGTTAACCATCTTTGTATCTGAAGGAAGGAGTGACTTCTGAGGTATATTCTGGTAAAGCCCTCAAATGTGTCAAATTCTGATTTGCCAAATTTATAAACAATGTGATTTAATAAAACAGGAATACTTCCTGATTAAGGCAGTTTTCAGCTGACTTCTGATTCGGCCAAATTGGTGGAAAAAGCATTTTGAAACCATCCTATCTTTTGACATCAAGTCAAAGCCTCTCTGCAACGCCGCAAGTGATACAGACACAAAAGCTCTTTTAAGAGCCACTCAACACCTCAGACAGATATCTACCCTGCAGACCCTGGTTGTATCTCATGGCCGGTGAAAACTGAATTCAAGGGGAGCTACGACTCTTTGTGTTCTCATGGTCTCAACATCTGATGACTCACCACTCGGGCCGCCTGTCCTCTGGAGAACCGGGAGTGACACATACAAAGGGTATTGGAGACTCGGGAAAGATAGCGTCGGATGGTTTTATAAACAAATCTCTAGTTTACCAAACATACAGCCAAACTATTTTACAACTCAGACTCCACAAACTCTTTCAGATACTTAAAAAAGGTTTTGCTAAAACGTCTAGCTTCCATTCCAGCATTCCACACATCACATTAAACACTTCATATCCATTACATTACATCATCATTCATACTTTGTCTTGTATAATCATTAGTTTAGGGAAATGGAAATAAATTCAGTTTTATAAACTGTATACTTGACTCTGTCTGAAGTGTGTTTATGGTCCCTGAATAATTAAAGTAAACTAAAATCTTATGATAAAACATTGAAAGGTCAATCAGGTTGATATTTCAGATTAATATGAAATTATCACATCTTATTGATCCTTTGTTACTAGGGATGGGTACCTTTGACATTTGAATCGATCCGGTACTAATTCCCGGTACCTACGAATCGATACCGGTACTTAACGGTACCAATTTTCGATACTTTTGAGTGTTTAATATTTTTAATTCTCTTTTATAATTAAATTTATATTTTTCTCAATATATAACCATATTTGATAAATATCACGATAAATAACATTCAACTGTTTGTATTTTAACATCGTCCTTGTAGTTTTATAAGTTGATAATTAAACTGAAGCAAACATCTTTACCGTGAACTAAATTTACTGTGTATCTTCATTCCTTTTGCCGTCCTTTTTCAATTGATTTTTCCTACTGGGAAGTTAGAATTTCCGAGGAGACAGTGAACGCACCATTAGATGATAACAATGGTGGCATAGGAAGCTAACATATCAAGCTAACGTTATCTTAAACAGTTTATTTAACTGCTGGAGCAGATTTAAACGATGATGCCTCACACTTAAATCGTTGTCACTGGTTTCATCTTCACCCAATCACCCGTCGCATTTAGTAAAGTGAAGCCAAACTTTAGAGCGTGTTCATGTTCTTCTAGTCGGAATTTCTGAGTTCCGAGGAGAAAGCGAACGCACCATTAGTGAAACGGAAGCTAACAAATCAAGCTAACATTATCTTAAACATTTTATTTACCTACCGGAGCAGATTAAGATGAGGATGTCTCACTTAGATGGTTGTCGCTGGTTTCATCATCACCCAGTTACCCATCACATTTAGTGAAGTGGACCCAAGCTTTAGCTTTCGTTCTTTCTACCATGCTGCTCTGTTTACAACTCGCTCGCAGCGACCGATGACATAACGCTCTTGCGCATGCGCAGATGTCTAGGCAAGTTCTCGTTGTGGAGGACGGGTACCGAAATGAGGCACTGTTTCAAATGAAGTGAATCGGTGCTCGGTCTGTACTGTGGAATTCGGTCGGTACCTTAAAAAGTACCAAATTCGGTACCCATCCCTAATTGTTACATATGTAGCCACTCATCAACGCTGCATTTGATATTGTTGTTTGATGTTGCATGTTGTTCCTCTTCATTGCTAGCTAAAGCCATGAAAAACACACCGCTGCACTTCTCAAAAGATAGTCTGCTGGTAGTGAATAAGCTGTCAGATCACACGTATAGATGTAATCTACATAGATGAGAAACCGCATCTCTGCAACAGACTTTTATTGTGATAATTAACAGAAGTTTTATACTGAGACCATGTGTGATTTCCTGTCTAGCCCTTTAAGAAATGTGGAAATTGACGCATCCCAGAAGCAGCAAGAGTAAAACCCAATACCACCTTTAATGTTGAGCAGGGCGTGGTGCGGCACGGTGCTGCAAACTGCTTCTAGGACCTACCTGAAAACCTCTGTGCCGCGGCTGGTTTGGATCGACCCCATTGACTATAACTGATTCTGTTTGAAGCAGCAACACTCTGCTGCTACTCAGCACTGCTGATACCTCCAGCGTGGAGTCGGCTTTAGGTGTCGTGGTGGGTGTTAACCGTCTGAACCAAGACATACAGAATCAACTCAGAGTCAGGAGGATGGGTGAGAAACCAAACAATAATTTATTAGTCCCAACTAAAGGAGCACGGTAAAAGGGTAGGTGATGATTAGGAGCTTAGCTCAGTTCATTTAGTCCAAATCCTGGGACTCAAGGTTCGAGGTTAGGGAGGAGAGGAGGGTCCGGTTGGCAGGTGAGTGGCAGGAGGAATGCGGGACAGGGTGATCCTCGAAGTGGGGGGGGGGGGGGTATTCTCGGAGTCCTGAGGGGGGTGCAGCGGGCAGCGGAGAGCTGGTCGGTCAGAAGAGGCCGGGAGCGGGAGACAGGTGTGGATCTGTGACTTATGGCAGGTTCTGTAAGTGGAGGCTCGACCAAGATTGAGTAATCATCCAGCGCTGAGGTACGTCTCCCTGCTCCTTAAGAAGCCTACTGACGAGGGGCAGATGGCTCGCTGCTCTCTGGTTCCGCCCATCTGCAAGATGTCCGGGTGGAAAACCAGACCTCCTGGCCCGGGATGTATGCTAGAGCGGGTCGCCGGTGGCGATCAGCCAGGCGTCGATTCCTAACAGCCGTTCGACTCAGAGCAGCAGTGGTGGCAGCCCAAATCCTCCTGGAGCTGCGGACAAACTGGGGAACAGATGTAGAGGGTCTATAGTCCTGCAGGAGTACAGGGGGTTGGTAGCCCAGGGAGACCTCAAACGGGGAACGCCCAGTGGCGGAGGATATGTGACAGTTATGGGCGTACTCAACCCACAGCAGATGAATACTCCAGCTCTCAGGGTTGGAGGAGCAGATCCAACGTAACATGGCCTCCATCTCCTGGTTCATGCATTCACATTGCCCGTCGGTTTGGGGATGAAAACCCGAACTCAGAGCCACATGAGCACCCAGGCTAGAGGCGAACTCCTTCCAGACCTTGGAAAGGAACTGGGGCCCCCGGTCTGAGACTCTTTCCTCTGGAATGCCGTGTAGCCGGAAGACATGCTTAACCAGTAGCTGGGCCGTGTCTGCGGAAGAAGGGAGAGATCTTAATGGGACTAGATGACAGGACTTGGAAAAATGATCAATAACTGTGAGAATTGTACTGAAACCATGAGAAACGGGTAAACCGGTCACAAAATTCAGGGCGATATGCGACCATGGTCGGGATTGCACAGGAAGGGGTTTGAGGAGTCCAGCTGGGGGTTGGTTAGAACACTTATTTCGAGCACAGGTTTCACAGGCGTTAACATAATCCTTGACATCACAAAACAGTGTAGGCCACCAGAAAGACCGACGAAGGAAGGCTAAAGTTCTACTTATTCCAGGATGGATGGAGAACTTAGCTGAATGAGCCCAACATATCACGGGACCTCTAACCTTTGAGGGCACATACATCCTGTAGGGAGGACCATTACGTGCTTAGAGCCTCCTCCACCTGCTTTTGTATATCCCACACCACCACTGCTCCCACCAGGCAGGATGGGGGAAGGATGGTGACAGGTACCGGGTCGGAGTCTGGTGAATACTGGCGGGAGAGGGCATCTGGCTTGGTGTTTTTGTTTCCTGGTCTGAAAGAGATAACAAAGTTAAATCTAGAAAAGAACGACCAGCGGTACTGTCTGGGATTAAGCCTCTTTGCCTCCTTCAGATACGACAAGTTCTTGTGATCAGT